GCGCACGCCTTTAATCCCAGCACTTAGGAGGCACAGGCAGGCGGATCTCTGTGAGTTCGAGACCAGCGTGGTCTGCAAGAGCTAGTTCCAGGACAGGCTCCAAAACCACAGAGAAACCCTGTCTCGAAAAACCAAAATGAAAAAAAAAAGAAATATTAGTAAAGAATATGAAGATGTGAATGAAAATAATAAAATGGAGGAACATATAGGATAGTATCAGGAGGGAATTCAGTGAGTACAGAAATTTGCCAGTGGGCTGGAGAGATGGCTCAGCGGTTAAGAGCATTGCCTGCTCTTCCAAAGGTCCTGAGTTTAATTCCCAGCAACCACATGGTGGCTCACAACCATCTGTAATGGGGTCTGGTGCCCTCTTCTGGCCTTCAGGTATATACACAGACAGAATGTTGTATACATAATAAATTTTTAAAAAAAAGTCATTTGTTTACTTGTAGCTGGAATATTTACTTCAACAGGCTTCCATTGTTTCAGCTTCCATAGCTGAAGTCTTAGCATTAACACAAAACGGGCAGACAACACAATTTACAAACAACTAGTTAAATGTTTCTAAAATCGTAAGAGTTTAAGAAAATGATTATTGATTTCATAGGATGATTGGATGAAGGAAAACAATCTATAGGCATGTAATGAGTGTAAATTCTTCTTCACTTTCAGTTCTCTTGAAATGTAAGTAAATATGAAGACTATTCCTGGGGGCTGGAGAGATGGCTCAGAGGTTAATAGCACTGACTGCTCTTCCAGAGATCCTGAGTTCAATACCCAGCAACCACATGATGGCTCACAGCCATCTGTAATGAGATCTTCTGGCCAGCAAGCATACAGACAAACAGAACACTATATACATAATAAATAAATCTTTAAAAAAAGACTATTCCTTGGAAACTCCCTCTTGTATAGAAAACTGTCATGCTTTCAATAATAGGCCAATGGTGTAGGATAAAGTATTTACCAGATTTGTTGTATAAGATTCGATGTAAATACTATTCATTAAGCTCTACATAGTGAGTTCAAGGCTAGCTAGAGCTTGTCTCAAACAACAAGGCAAAATTATATTCAAATAGGTATGTATGTTTATGGGTGTATTATCACGTATAATTTAGAGAATAGAGTCTTGCTATTATACTCACTATGTAGGCTAAGCAGCCTTGAATACATGTAGATCGGCCTGGCTCTGCTACTGTGCTCAGATATATTCACTTCTGAGAATGATTTAATGGGGACCAATGACTGACAGCTGAAATGACTTTAAGACAATTGTCCTGCACCTTTTGTGCTCTTTGTGATTCATTTTTTTTAACATTGTGTATATCATGTATGTGTGTGTTGCTTTCATCTATGTAGTTCATGTTTTGTTTTTTTTTTTTTTGTGGTTTTTCGAGACAGGGTTTCTCTGTGGTTTTGGAGCCTGTCCTGGAACTAGCTCTTGTAGACCAGGCTGGTCTCACACAGAGATCCGCCTGCCTCTGCCTCCCGAGTGCTGGGATTAAAGGCGTGCGCCACCACCACCCGGCTGTAGTTCATGTTTTAAAACTCATCTTTATCTTCCTGTCTCTGTGTCTGAAGCTTTGTATTAAAAGAATTTATGGGGCTGGAGAGATGGCTCCGTGGTTAAGAGCACTGCCTGCTCTTCCAAAGGTCCTGAGTTCAATTCCCAGCAACCACATGGTGGCTCACAACCATCTGTAATGAGGTCTGGTGTCCTCTTCTGGCCTGCAGACATACACACAGACAGAATATTGTATACATAATAAATAAATAAATATTTAAAAAAAATAAAAGAATTTACTACCACACACAGTGTGAAAGAAAAATAAATCTTATGGTGCAAGTCATCTCCTTTTTATGTTTTTGTTGTCATTGTGGTGATGGTGGCTTTATTATTTTTGTTTTTTACAAATCTAATATCAGTCACTATTTTATGTATATGATTTTTTTTTCTGTACACAGGTCTTTGTACACCATTCACGGCAGGGAGTCCAAGAGAAGGTGTCAGAACTGCTGAAACTGGAGTTCAGCATATAGTAGTGAGTTTCTTTATGTCCTGGGAATGGAAGCGATTCTTCAGTACTCTTAACTGCTAAAGTACTCTCCAATCCATACATTCTGATCTTGATTATGTTTCCTGTACAGGGCAGCCTGGTTAGCATTAGACCCTCCATGCTGAATGAAAAGTAGAACTCTCTTTCAGGTGAGAGGATTATCCTCAGGCAGGGATGAGCTCGCTAAGTACAACATGGTCAGCCCTTAAACCACATATATACAAATACCAAAAACAGACTCAGCAGGGTGTATTCATATACCTAAGTACATTTATTCATATATCCGTAACAAGGAAGAAGTCAGAAGGGAAGAATGTGACAAGGAATGGCAGGAGGACAAAAAGGGAAAATTGATGTAATATGTTTTAGTTAGAGAAAGCATTAAATAATTCAATTTAAAAAAGGGGGGCTGGAGAGACCACTGGGTGTTGTTCCTGAGGTTCCATTCCCAGAGCCCACATGGTAGCTTGATGTGGGAGTGTCATATATCAAAGCAATCTGATTTTCCCGTGTCATTTACTTGATTTTCAGCTAATACCTTGTGGTATGAGATGAACATGTTAGAGGCACTTTTTTCCATTATTTTTATAATTTATACATGTTCCCACATGACTTTGAGGTAAGAAAGTCCCTACATGTCCCTGCTTTTACATCGTGATCATGTCCAGATGTGGATTTGGTAACTGGGAATGCTTAGGAATAGCAGAACTCTACATGTGCATGTCCAGACTCCTAAGTGAAATCCCCATCCTTCCTTTGTGTAGGGAAAGCATTGCTTTGGAATTGACTCCCATGTTTTCCTTGCCTTCTACAGGTAAGTCCTTCTCAGTTCTGTGAATTGGCTGTCCTGATGGCTACTCTTGGTAATCTAACCGACTAACTCTGGAATAACTGATCCCAAAGCATTGGGTGGGTATGCCTTCCTGTGTGGGCGTTTTCTTAAAGATTTTGAGATAAAAGGTCCATTTTTCATCTGCATCGCTGGAGTTGATGAGATCCACCTTTAGCACCTTGGTGGCAGGGCACACTTTTTACTCCAGCACTCAAGAGGCAGAGGCAGTCAACTTTTCTAAGTTTGAGGCCAGTCTGAACTACAGAGTGAGTTTCAGGTCTACAAAGATTAACCTTCCCAGCACTCGGGAGGCAGAGGCAGACGGATCTCTGTGAGTTCGAGACCAACCTGGTCTACAAGAGCTAGTTCCAGGACAGGCTCCAAAGCTACAGAGAAACCCTGTCTCGAAAAACCAAAAAAAAAAAAAAAAAAAAAAAAAAAAAAAGATTAACCTTGTCTCAAAATCACACACACACACACACACACACACACACACACACACACACACACAGAGATCAAACAAAGAATAAGATCGGCATTTAATCCGGATCACTCTTTCTAGTAACAGCCTACAGATATAAATGATACCGAAGAAGGAAGCTCTCTCTCTCTGCCTCCCTACCCTAGCTCAGGGTACAAAGTTCATCCCTTTACTAGCAGGAGAGCCTACTCTTTGGAACTTTGGTGCATACTGAAGACCAGCTGAGACATCCAGCCTCATGGACTGAAGAACTACTGGAGTCTTCAACTTCCCCTAGTTAGACGCCATTGTTGGACAAGCGGGACCACAGCTTGTGAGACATTCTAATAAATCCACTTTCTGCATGCATGGAGAGATTGTTATTTACCAGTCCTGCTCATGTAAGGGCCTGAGTTGTGTTTCTCTTTCACCTGCCCATTGATGAAGATGAGCTGGCTAACACTCAAAGTGCTGGCTAGTACTCATAAAGACAATATTCCTAACTTCATTTTTTTTTTCGGTTTTTTTTTCGAGACAGGGTTTCTCTGTGGCTTTTGAGCCTGTCCTGGAACTAGCTCTGTAGACCAGGCTGGTCTCGAACTCACAGAGATCTGCCTGTCTCTGCCTCCCGAGTGCTGGGATTAAAGACGTGCACCACCATCGCCTGGCCACTTCATTATTTTCTAAATGTTCAATTTATGTGAACGGCGAAACCCTGTCTCGAAAATAAAAAAAAAATTATCCTAAGGGTACACTTTTTATTATGTATTTATGAAGGGTACGCCCTGAATTCCAGAAGAAAACCTTTGGAAAAAATGAAGCCATCATCATCCAGTCCTGTGGTGGAAGACAAACCTATAATTTTGTTTTCTTATCTGATTCTTGTAAACCTCTTCTCCACATCTGAAGTGCTCGTGTGTCAGGTAAAAAGTACCTTTAGGGGCTGGTGAGATGGCTCAGTGGCTAAGAGCACTGACTGCTCTTCCGGAGGTCCTGGGTTCAATTCCCAGCAACCACATGGCAGCTCGCAGCTGTCTGTAACCCCTGTTCCAGAGAATCTAACATCGTTATATCAATGTGCATGAAATAAGGTTAAATAAAGTTTTTAAAAAAAAAAAAAAAAAAAAAAAAAAAAAAAAAAGTACCTTTAGTTCACCTGACATCATAGTGGAGCCACAGAACAAACATCTCCTTTTGTGTCCTTAAATTTCTCTTTAAAAATGCTAATATTCTGCGCACCCTTCCACCTGTGGGACAGGGAATCCCTCCACTCCACCTTGAGGAAAGGGCTGTGCAAGCCTTCACAGGGCGTGCAGGAGGAAGAGGAGGATGGGCCTGTGGCGTGCCGGGGGTGTGTGTGTGTGTGTGTGTGTGTGTGTGTGTGTGTGGCAGGATTAGCTGTCAGAGCCAAGGTCAACAGTTATTGAAATGCAAATCTCTGCTGCTCTGGGAAAGTCTGGCTAGGCACTGGAAGTTTGACTCGGGAGGGGGAGGAGGATGGGCCTGTGGAGTGCCGGGGGTGTGTGTGTGTGTGTGTGTGTGTGTGTCCGGGTGTGTTTGTGTGTTTGAGTGTGTGTCGGGTGTGTGTGTGTGTGTGTGTGTGTGTGTCAGGATTACCTGTCGGAGCCAAGGTCAACAGTTATTGAAATGCAAATCTCTGCTGATCTGGGAAAGTCTGGCTAGGCACTGGAAGTTTGACTCGGGAATCTGTAAGCCCTGTGTCTTTAAACTCGGGGAAACCCTAAAGGCGGGACTCTTGTCACTCAAGCCTCACCAACCAATCAGTGCCTCCGAGCCGAACTGCCAGTCAGAAGTCGTGCCGGGCTCTTCCGTGAGCGTCGCTGCGCTCCTTTTGGATTGCGGAGGAGGTGGGAGCAGTTTTCGCGTGTTGTGCTGCCCGTGCCGCTGCAGGAGCTGGGAGAAGACCATGGGCGAGCCGGGAAGCCACGACGTGGTGAGCAAGGGGCTGCTGTTCTCAGATGGGGAAAATCGGATGCGGAGATCCAGGTTCCAGCGTGGCGGGTCCTGAGGGCCGGGTGGGAATCTGCAGTCATATTCCGTGTCCTGTGAGCTCCCATGCGGTCCCTGCTTCTCCCTGGACCCAGGCACAGTCCTGTGAATAACTTAGGAGCAAGGAACTGTGTGTAGAAACGTATTTGTAGTTAACAACAATGGGCTTTTGGTGCAGTCATGGAAGGCAGGTTGACTAACTTGGAGAGGCCTGGTTTCTCCAGTATTTTGTAGAAGTTCAGGACTTTGCATTTAACCTTTACGTGTGAGGTCCATTTACAGTTAATTTTGTGGAGGCTGTAAAAGGCATCTCGTGTGCTGGGTAGCACTCCACTACTTCGCTGTGATGTCCTAAGAGTAGGATTTGGTGACATTAAGGACTTAATAATGCTGGCTAGGTAGTATGTCTCAAAATAGAATTCAGCTGCGGGAGGATTGTTTCTGAAATATCTTAAAAATAAGTATCTGTTAACCAGGCCTGGTAAATGTTGTGCCCAGATTACGACCCCCAGAGAGAGACCACCAGAGAGGCCCAGATTGTAATAAGCAAGGTTTAATCAGCATAATACAAACATGTTTGGAACTCATCTCCATCCCCGTTACAAGGTAGAGAGGAGTTGTATCTCCTCTGTGGGGTAAGCTTTTAAAGGCATGACTACAAAGAGAATCTTTGAAGATGCTTTTGCATGGGTACAAGGACTTTTGCTCCCTTCCATTCTGTTAAGTCAGCTTTTTCCTTGTTCTTAGAGCAAGGCCACTGTTCTTGAGTTAGGCCATCTCTGTCAGCCTGTACCAGGTGGCTGGTTGGGCTGAGCTAAGTGACCTTGTGCTGGGAATCTCCTGGGTGGGAGAGGGGAAGGCCACTATCTTCTGCTAGGAAATTTCTTCTTACCCCTTTGAGAGTAAGGGGTGAGGGTCCCACAGTAAAGATGAGGATACTAGGGTACTTATCTAGACATTTAGCTCTTTACAAAGGAGACATCCCTGACTGACAACCAGCCTCTAGGCCCATTCTTCTAACAAGGTGCTCAGGGAGGCATTCCAGAGTCGCAGCCGACCTTATGTGTGCCTTGAAGTTCCAGTTTTCTTTTCTTTTCTTCTTTTCTTTTTTTTTTTTTTGGTTTTTCTGTGGGTTTGGAGCCTGTCCTGGAACTAGCTCTGTAGACCCCAGGCTGGTCTCAAACTCACAGAGATCTGCCTGTCTCTGCCTCCCAAGTGCTGGGATTAAAGGTGTGCCCCACCACCACCCGGCTGTAAAGTTCCAGTTTTCTTCAGAAAAGCATTGTTCTGAGGGAGGGGCAGTGTGATACCAGGTGACAACTATTTGAAAAGGAAAAAACTCTTGCCTTAAGGACTGGTCTGGTCAAGCAAGGCTTTTATTTAGGCCCTCAGGCAGAGTGGAGGAACATTCTTGGGAGGGGGGAGGAACAGCCTGGAGCCTAGGCCTCTTTAGCTCTGTGTAGGTGGCTTTTATGTACTGAGATTAAAACAGACCGCCTTCTCTAACACCAAGAATATTCAGCCAGGCAGTGGTGGTGCACGCCTTTAATCCCAGCACTAGAGAGGCAGAGGAAGGCGGATCTCTGTGAGTTCGAGGCCAGCCTGGTATACAAGAGCTAGTTCCAGGACAGGAACCAAAAGCTACGGAGAAACCCTGTCTCAAAAAATCAAAAAAAAAAAAAAAAAAAAGAATATTCAGCAGGTAATGGTCTGGGTCCAGGTCCTTTGTGGAGGCGTTCCTTCAGATCCTGAGAGCCCAGCTCTTCCCACCACCAGGAGCTAAGGTTATATGTCTCAAGGGCAGTGTAGGCTTAATCTGTACTGTTCCTGGGATGCCCTGTGTTACCCTTGTGTAACAACCACTGCTGGATTAGCCTCCTCCTGAATTTGTCTCATTGTATGGTAGTTTCTGCTGACTTCATAGAAGCTCCCCATTTCTTTCCATCCCCCATGTAAGTAGTAGACAAGGTACTATTCTTCAGAAGCTTGCTTGGCAGGAGACACAGCTTTTGCAAGACCTCCCCACTTCAGCTTTTATCTTTTCTGTCTTCTCCTTTTCCTGTCTTTCTCCTTCCCAGTCCCTTTCCCCTCAGGACCCTGTCACTGAAGAATGACCTGATGCATCAGGTCACTGGGGACCTTCAGAAATAATTCTGATAATGTCTTTACTGTTTCTCCCATCTGCCTAAGTGTCCACACTTGCTGTCTCCTGTCCCTATTTAAATTGTTCAGAGTGTAATCTGGTGCATGACCATAAGAGAAATTAGGGATGACAGCAGATGTGGAATGCAAACTCTGTCTATGCTGCTCCTCTGAGTATTAGACAGAGATAGATGCAGGCTCTCATCAGAGATTTTTCTCTATTAATCTCTTAATTGTGAGGAGTGATTTCTCCCTGGGAGGACACAGTATTCCTAGAGCAGCTGCATTTGCAGCCTTTTAGAAACTGTTTCTGAGACTGCTCTCTGCTGGTGACCCAGGTGGCCCTGATTTCAGACTTTGCACTCCAGGGCGATGACTTTGTTGTCCTCCATATTACATCTCCAAAATTCTTAAATGATTGCACTACCTCAGAATTTTAAAATTACCCATTTGAGTCATGGAGTCGGGGTCGACTGTCCATTGCAGTAACAGGAGAAGGATTTCCACATGGAGCCTTCGGACCAGAATAGGAGGAATCATTTGTGTACACTGCAGGGGGAAACAGGGCAGGCAGTCAGCTGCTGGGGTCACCAGTATGAAAAAGGCCCTGGGTGTGGCAGGAGGAGTAAGTCTGTAATTGCCCAGCATGTAACTCATGTCATGTGAATAAACACTGGCCACATTGGTGGTGTACAGTTAGAGAGAGTTACCTAAAGCTGGTGAATATTGGCTGTGTAGTTAGGGAATTCTCCGGTGCAGACTCTTTAGTCCTGCTTCACAGTTAAGTCAGCTTAGAGGTTTGAGAAATAAGCCATTTTCTGTGTGTCATGGTACAGATTTCAGCAGCCAACTTGTGCACATAGGCAAGATCAATCAACTGGAACACCCCTCCTCGTCCAATCCGTTTCTGTTATTAGCAAAGTTGAGAAGCCCAGTGCATAAGATGAGCACTGGCCAGCAAAGGCCCTTTTTAATCTATGAAGCCTAGAAAGGCACCCTAGGGATAAGATTCCAGCCATTAAATCCTTCAGTTTATGGAAGGAATAGGCAACTTGATTCCTAATCCCAAAAGGCAACTTCATACAGAGCCTGCTGCAACTCTGGTCCAAGCATGGTAGGTTCTATCACTACTTAGAAGCCAAATTTGGGGGCATAACCCATGTTGTACTTGTACTAGTTCTGGATACAAGAAAAATACAAAATTTATTGGTCATAGGTTCTTCCACTGTGGTTTTCTTTAGTTCACCCATTTTGCACCTATCTAAGTTTGGAATAGAAATTCAGTGAGGAGACTCGGAGTTCGTTGCATGAAACTGAAGATGAAGTCAGTGTTGTATTATGTTGAGATGATGGGATATTGAGATACCCAAGTTATGAGACATCTGCTATGGAGAGCTGCATACAGGGAGTAGAAGTAACATAAGAGAGACATGTATGAAAATTTTCAGGGACAGTTATCTAAGCCCTTTGAGAATGAAGCCCCTCCTGTCTGAGACAGAGCTACAGGATTTGTCGTTTGCCCTGTTGAGTTTTAGTCTTGCTTGGGTCCAGTCTTCCCTCACTGTGTCCACACTCCTTTCCTTCTTTTTATTTAAATTTATCCTCATTCAATACATCCCAAATGGAATTTCCCCTCCCTCCACTACTCCCTATCCTCTCCACTGTTCCTCTTTCCACCAGATCCACTTCTAAATTTCTCTTCAGAATATGACAGAAATCCCAAGGATATCAACAAACTCTTGTATAACAAGGTACTATAAGACCAGGCACAAGCCCTTATATCAAGGATGGACGAAGCAACCTGGTAGGAGGAAAAGATTTCCAAGAATAAGCAAGAGTCAGAGACACCCCCTCACCCACTGTAGGAGTTCCACAAAAACAACAAACTGTGGGATTCCCCTCTGGATGCTGTAAATACCATTGGTTAATAAAGAAGCTGCTTTGGGAAGGAGGTTGGGTGGGAGGGAAAGGAAGGGGATGGGGAAGAAGAGGAAGCAGCTGTCCTGGTGGTCTCTACTCTGAGGAATGGCAGGAAGGATCTGAGCTGGCTTTTGGGGTGCACCCATGTGACTGAGAGTGAAATCACAGGGATTGTGGGCACAGTATCCATCCAAAAAGAGTTTGTTGACCCCTGGCCTATGCCACCTGGAGCAGAGCCACTTTTAGTAACCTGAGCAAGAAGCTTAGATGTTCAGGGGTTTGAGAAGCCAAACCCAACTGGCAACAGGGTAGACCTCACCTAGCCTAGAGATCTGGTGGGAGTTGGGAGGCCTGGACCCCGTGAGAAAGGAAGATGGGCTGAGTGAGAGATACCTAAAACCTCTTCCAGTGATGCAGCTTTCAAATGTGCCACTCGTTTGGTTTCTCAGTCTTGGTGACGCTCATGTTGGGAGGCCACAGGAAACCCCTGTTCCCCATCTACATTCCAAGAATCAAGCAAGCTGCCTTTTTACTACGTTAAAAAAAAATAATAAAGAAGCTGCTTTTGGCCTATCACAGGGCCAGCTAGGGCAAGGTGGGCATTCCAGGCAGATAGAGGAAAAGAGAGTAGGTGGAGTCAAACAATCAGACAGGACCTTACCATTGGTAGGCCATAACCATGTGGCAATGTACAGATTAATAAAAATGGATAAACTTAAGATATGAGAGCTAGCTAGAAACGTGCATGAGTAATAAGCCAAGCAGTGTTTTCATCAATACAGTTTCTATGTGGCTATTTCTTGTGGCCAAGACTCGATGAACCGCCTCCACCTACACTAAGCTGACGAACCATAACATGTATGCAGAGATCCATGTTCCCACCCCTGCAGTCCCTGTGATTTCTGTTTCTGTGAGACTCGATGAGCTCTGCTTACTTGATTTTGTGGCTGTGTTAAGAAAATTTTTGATTATCAATTTTTTTGAAGATGTTTTCTGGGCCTTTGAACTGAGATTCTTCTCCTTTTATTCCTATTATTGTTAGGTTTGGTCCTTTGATTTTGTTCCTACAATCATTCTCTACTCCCACTGGAGTCCTAGAGCTCGGGCTTGGGTAAGGGTCTGTGCATGTACTCCCATCGCTGTCAGAAGAAGCCTCTCTGACTACTGTTGGGCTAGGCACCAATATATGATTACAGGAGAATTTAGGTACACATCATTTCGTTGATTTTTTTTTTCTCAGTCAGTTGTATCTTGGTTCTACTCTAATTCTCTGAACATCTAAGGTCTGGGTGCTGGCCATCCTGGCAGTGTTGGGTATGGGCTTCCTTTCACATCTTATGCATTAGCCCAGTCATTGGTTGTGGCGGACCTCTCGACCGGCTACGAAAAATGACCACCACACCAGGATTCCACTCAGATCACGCTTTTACTGGAGTGCCCTTGATTGATGGGGAGCATGGAATGAGGGGGGCAGGAGAACAAGGAACAGGAACCGGAGGGGCAGGGAGCTAAGGGGCAGGAAGCGAAGGGGCCTGGGTGCACTTAGGCAGCCGCTTAAATGGGGAATTGGCACACGGGTCGCCCTGTGATTGGCTGCCACCAACAGCTGACACCAGACCGCATAGGGATAGGCTCAATGATCCTCATCCACTGCGCATGCAGGAAGCGGGTATGCGCAGCTCTCAAAGCCATAGCCAAATATGGAGTTGTTTATAACCAACAAGACAGGATGTCGGCGCCATCTTGTAATGGCGATCCTGTCTGGCTGACTACAATTGGTTGGCCAGTACAGAAGCTCTGAGCCACCATTGACCTAACATATCCTGCAGGCAGGGCAAGTGTGAGTCAAAAGTTTTGTCGATGGCTTGGTATCCCAATTGCATCACTAGGAGCCTTATGCGGTTACAGAAGATGGCTGGTTCAGCCTCCATAGTCTTGATTACTAGGAGTTCTCACCGGGTCACCCTCATAGTCCCAGACTGTGTGCACTGCGCTGTTTCCATGTCCTCCACTAAAAGCTCTACTTTCCAGTCATCTTCCCTGTGCTCTCCACCTCTGTCCCTTTCTTACTCACCTGACCCCTCAGGTTCCCATGCACGCCTGCTTCTAATGCATCCACACGATCTATTTCCTCTTGCTAGGGAAGCCATACATCGCCCCTATAATCCTTTTTGTTTCTTAGCCTCTCTGATTCTATGGGTTGTACTGTTATCAACGTGATTGTAGCTTGTGGCATGAGTTCTAACAGGCCTTAATAATAGTAGATTTATGCTTAGGAGTGTCCTGTTCATAACCTAACCCCTTTTTAGATGACCTTGTTTACCACAATTGAAACATTGACATTTCCAAAAATTTTTTTTTTATTGGTTTTTCGAGACAGAGTTTCTCTGTGGCTTTGGAGCCTGTCCTGGAACTAGCTCTGTAGACCAGGCTGGTCTCGAACTCACAGAGATCCGCCTGCCTCTGCCTCCCGAGTGCTGGGATTAAAGGCATATGCCACCATCGCCCGGCATTTTTCACTGTAGATCTGAATGAGTCATCAGTAATAACCATCCAACAGATTCACTGCTGCATTTAAGAAATTAGCCCCCACTACTTCTTAAGTATGCTCTATTGGTTTCTAGGACATAGACAGAATTAAAAATGGACTTTGGAGCCAAAATATCACACAAATGACCTCTAGCTCAAACTCTTACGGAGTCTATCTAGTTCTGACTGAAATCCTATCATCGCTATCTCCACTTTCTGCCATTACTCTCAGTATCCTCATCTTCTTGGTCCAGAAAGAACAGATGTTTAAGTTCTGTGTACAGCTTCCTATGGTTTTTGCCCATAAAGTCTTGATATCTCCCACACTCTTCTTTTTTTTTTTTTTTTTTTTGATTTTTCGAGACAGGGTTTCTCCGTAGCTTTTGGTTCCTGTCCTGGAACTAGCTCTTGTAGACCAGGCTGGCCTCGAACTCACAGAGATCCGCCTGCCTCTACCTCCCGAGTGCTGGGATTAAAGGCGTGCGCCACCACCGCCCGGCTCCCACACTCTTCTGAAAGACAACATTCCCTGCTTTTTCCTAGGAACAAATTCAGTTTTGGTGTCCTGTTTTTGTTCTAAATTGCTTCTCTGTTGCTGTAATTGAATCCATTAACCAAAGGATTCCCAGCAAAAACAGGATTATTTGGCTGATTCTTTTGAGTTATAGTCTGCCATTTTGGGAGTTTAGGATAGAAATTCAAGCTGGTCAGGAAAAGGAAATTCAATGGGTAAAGACTGTTTCCCAGATTTCTCTTGCCTTCTCACTGTCTCATGCTCAGATAGCTACCTTATCCATACCAGGCCTGTAGCACAATTAATAGAAAAACAGAGGTAGATAGTGGGGTTCAACCTGAAGGCCAAAAAAGCAAAACCGTCAGCCACTGGCTCTTACCTCTACCTCAGTCTGAAATGGCGATCCTGCCTCCAGGAATTCCCGAATGGCACTGTCTGAGAGCTGCCTCCTCCCATTATTTCTTTCTCTCTAGGACTGGCATTAAAGGCATGCACCACTACAGCCAGGTTTTTATGGCAGACTAGTGCGGCTACTGTGCTTTGGTCTTGCCTTTCCTCGTCGTATCTCCTTTAATGTCTTTCAGAAGATGACTAGTGTGCTGTGCGATTGTGTATAGGAAAGATGTAACTTGTTTTCTGAATTTACAAGATGCTACTGTCAAGAGATTGTCTTGTGTGTGGAGAGACCTGGACGTTGGAGCGGTGTAGGGGTCATTGCAGATTATGAGGATCGTTGAAGTGACAAATTGTATTTTCTTCGTGGATGACCATTAGCCTATAATGAGCCTATGTAGTTGATTGAATCTAAAACTTACCAGATGTTGATATATTCGAACATTTGTTTATTTGGTGACTTTCTTTCAATTGCTTGTGAACCTTTTATTAGGACGAGACTTTCTGGATGGTTTTCTTCTTAGGGAGGGTGATATGGGTCTCTATAGCATCAATTCATTTCCTGTCCTTTGTGTCTACTGTGTTGTAGTTGATACTACTCAGCCAGCTTCCTTCTTGTGCTGTCGTGCCTCCACCATTAAAGACTATCTCTACATCACGTAAGATGTAGGAGAAGCAACTGCTAGTCAGTGCTAAGCCAGTTTGCTACCTTTCTGGTTTTTAATTGTTTGTTTGTCAAAACAAGGATTTTCTTTGTAGCCCTAGCTGTCTTGAAAGTAGCTCTGTCCACTCAGCTGGCTCCAGAATGACCTCCAACTCACCGATCCCCTTGACTTGGTATCGCAAATGCTGAGATTAAAAGTGGGCCAACATTCCTGGCTTTCTGTCTTATTGTGTGATGTGCCTGGAATGTAGGTTTTTGACCATGCCAAGTATTTGCTGTTAAACTGGGCTTCACTTACACTTTGAATTTTCAAATTTGGCAGAAATTATTATTTGGTTTCCCAGGATGGCATGTATTCACGACAGAAATACTGCCTGTGCCTTCTGATTCACTGCATTGCACATACATCACCTTCTTCCTGCCTATTGCTTTTGTTTTTAATTTTTTTAATGAAAATTCATATTTCACCTATAAGCGTGGACATGCACCACACAGGTACCTGATCCTCACAATGATCAAAGATGTTTTCAAAAACACTGAACTTGAATAATTGATAGTTATGTTCCCTGAAGCAAATAGTAGTAATTGAGTCCTCCTCTGTGCCAGAGGAGCAAGAGCTCTTTACTAACGAGGTATCTCTTTGCCTCTGTATGGATTATTTATTATCCACATTTAATTTGCTAATGTTTCCATCTGTCCTCTTGTACCTGTTTAAAGCATGTAGTGCCTGTTAGTGTACAGTCTTACTGGTGTTACAGCTTCAAGTGGAGAAGTTCAGGTTTCTGGAAGATGAATACAGGATTCTCTGTAGCAATGTCAGTAAGATACTGCTGAGTTCTTTGTATTTTTTGTTTGCTTGACTGATTTTTGCATGGGAGATGGGGTTGGACTATGTACTTCTGGCTGTCCTGGAACTGACTGCATAGACTAGGCTCCCATTCACCTCCAAGGCAGATTTTCCTCCCTCTAACTGCTGTGTTTGAAGGCATGAGCCAATCTACACAGCCTGTCCCTTTGATTTTCTTTTTTGTATTTACCAATTGTTGATAGAATTTCTCTCCTGTGTCTGCTGTAGTGTTGATCTGTTTACTGGTCTCTCTCTGTTTTTTTTATAGTCATTTCTCTTGCACGGTGATATCCCCTCACAGGGTACAGAAATGAGGGAGACGAACCTTCCATTCAGTTTCTTTCCAGAGTGACTTGGTGATTACAATGTAATGTCTATTTCATGGAAGAAGTGTAGGAAGTACCAGAATTATATGACTATATTGTCAAAGAAGTGTACATTTACAATGTTATCACTATCATGCTTTCGATCATAAAAATGTATGGATATTTCAGAATGCAGTGACCTATGATGATGTGCATGTTGACTTCACTTGGGAAGAGTGGACATTGCTGGATCCTTCCCAGAGGAATCTCTACAAAGATGTGATGCTGGACACCTACCACAGCCTCAGTATCATAGGTAAACCTGAATTTATCATCATGTTTTTAAATAAGGAGACAGCTGTTCCTTGATTTTTTCATATTCTTGTGTAATTTGACTGATGAAGAATGAGGTGAATAAATGCGTCATGGTTTAAGGTTCACTGAGGATAGTAATTTAAATGTTGCACACTTTTTAATAATATATCATATGTTTTCAACTCTGTTGTAGGATACACTTGGGAAAACCATAATATTGAAGAACATTGTCAAAGTTCTAGAAAGCAGGAAAGGTAACTATCATTCCCAGATGGATACAAATGTTCCTCTGAAGAAACTATAATGTGTCCTGGAGATTTTACACTAAAGAACAGTATAAATAAGAACAGCTTCATGTGGATGATGATTATTAAATTCTCACAAAACCATATACCTCAGTTTCAATGAGGTGAATTGCATTTGCAAGGCATTATTTTAAGAAATTATACCAGAAACAGTGCCTTCACAGATATCACCATTGGAATCACAGCTTGATGAGAGCTGTTCGGTAGAACTGTTAATCCATTAATTCCTCACCACTCATATTACAAAAGGTAAACCTCTTTTTAAAAGAGTTGTTTATTAGGCCGGGCGGTGGTGGCACACGCCTTTACTCCCAGCACTCGGGAGGCTGAGGCAGGCGGATCTCTGTGAGTTCGAGACCAGCCTGGTCTCCAAGAGTTAGTTCCAGGACAAGCTCCAAAACACACAGAGAAACCATGTCTCGAAAACCAGAAAAAAAAAAAAAGAGTTGTTTATTTAGTATACAGTGTTCTGTCTGTCTGTATGCTTGCTGGCCAGAAGAGGGCACCAGATCTCATTACAGATGGCTGTGAGCCACCATGTGGTTGCTGGGAATTGAACTCTAGAAGAATAGCAATCAGTGCTCTTAACCTCTGAGCCATCTCTCCAGCCCCCCAAAAGGTATACATTTTGAAGAGGTAATGAGTCCGTCCCTCAAACCTTCTAATAAGCAAACAGTCCATAGTAAACTAGTGTTACTCATAATCTTGCTGAGTCTGTGCTGAGTTTAGTGAGATGGGCATTTAGAGTCAAGAGCCAAGAGGCAGTTGTTATGAAGAAACCTCACTTTCTTTCTTTTTCTTTTTTTTAACTTTTATTATATGTGCATTGGTGTTTTACATGGTTTATGTCTGTGTGAGCGTGTTGGATCCCCTAGGCAGGAGTTACAGACAGATGTGAGCTGCCATGGAGGTGCTTGGAATCGAACTAGGGTCTTCTGGAAGAGCAGTCAGTGCTCTTAATCCCTGAGTCATCACTCCAGCTCCTAAGAAACCTCACTTTCTATACCATATGTCTATATATGAATTGTTCCATTTTTCTATAAATATATGAAAAATCTCATATTAAAAAGATTCTATAAATGTGAACTCTTTATTAAAGTATTTTTCCATCACTGGCATCTTCAAAGATGCAAAACAACCCAAAATGAAGGGGAACAACATGAGTACAAACCTAATAATAGAACCCTAAGATCCGAGTCCTTTTTACAATTGGACTAAATTATAAAATTTATTCATAGAGATACAAAGATTCAATGGTGTATTAAACATGGTTGAGCTTTTACATGTGTCAATTATCCTTACAGACCTGAAAGAAATTATCCTGGAGAGAAATCTTCTGTTTATAATCTATGTGTTAAAGCCTTTGCATATGACGGACTTCTTCAAAGGCATGAAAGCACACTTATTGGAGAGAAACCTTTTGAATGTCATCAATGTGGTAAAGCCTTTGCTTATCACTGCTATCTCCAAAAGCATGGAAGAACACATACCGGAGAGAAACCCTATGAATGTAATCAGTGTGGTAAAACCTTTAATGAACAAAGCAATCTTCGAAGGCATAAAAGAATACATACTGGAGAGAAACCTTATCAGTGTAATCAATGTGGTAAAACCTTTGCCTATCACTTAGGTCTTCAAATGCATAAAAGAACACATACTGGGGAGAAGCCCTATGAATGTTATCAATGTGGTAAAAGCTTTGCTTGTCACAGTGCTCTTCAAACACATAAAAGGATACATACTGGAGAGAAACCCTATGAATGCAATGAATGCGGTAAAGCTTTCGTTCAACATAGTCATCTCCTAATACATAGAAGAACACACACTGGAGAGAAACCCTATGAATGTATTCAGTGTGGTAAAACCTTTGCTCATCACAATGCTTTTCAAATGCATAAAAGTACACATACTGGAGAGAGACCATATCCATGTAATGAATGTGATAAGTCCTTTACATATTACAGTAATCTTCAAATACATAAAAGATCACACACTGGAGAGAAACCCTATCAATGTAATCAATGTAGTAAAGCCTTTCCATACCACAATAATCTTCAGATACATAAAAGGACACATACTGGAGAGAAACCTTATGGATGTGATCAGTGTGGTAAAACCTTTTCTCATCACAATGCACTTCAAATACATAAAAGAACACATACTGGAGAGAAACCCTATGAATGCAATCAGTGTGGTAGAGCCTTTGCACAACAAAGTAATCTTAAAATGCATAAAAGAACACATACTGAAGAGAAACCCTATGGATGTGAACAGTGTGGCAAAACCTTTAAACACCAGCGTAGCCTTCAAATACATAAAAGAACACATACTGGAGAGAAACCCTATGGATGTGATCAGTGTGGCAAAACCTTTAAACACCTGCGTAGCCTTCAGATGCATAAAAGAATACATACTGGAGAGAAACCCTGAGAATGTAACCAATGTGCGAATATCTTTGCATTAATAAGCAATCTTTGAAATCATCTGAGAAAGATGTAGTGCAGAAATACCCTAAAAATATAGCCAGTGTTGCAAAGTTTTGCACTTTATACAGGAGTTAATGTTGTATATACAATCAGTCTGTTAAAACCTTTGTGTTTTCAATAGTCTTTGAGTGCCTAAAACAATTCTGAGTGTATTTTTATAAAGTATTTGGTAAGCTCTCTATCCAACACACTTTACATCCTTGCATAAAAGAGCATTCATTCTGTGGGAAATTTTGACAGTGTGAACAATCTGTTCAAGATTCATGATGCTGTATTTTATATTGTTGCCATCTGAAAACTCATAGACAAAATCAGTTTATGAAGTTGTGAAGCTCTATGTGAAGTTGTCAAAAATCAGACCTTGGTCCTGATAATAAAACTTTTCTAAACTGTCCAGCTCTGTGTCTAGCCCTGTCAATGTTTTAAAGTCTATTTAGATCATTTTGAAGTCAGGAAAGAAGAACAAACTCATACAAGAGAAAAACCCTATTCGTGTAATTATTTGGTAAGTACTTTAGACATCACGGTAGTCTTTAGCAACAAGAAAAAACTGTTGTTTATTATTCATCACAGTCTTGAAGGAAGTAAATGAATTGCTGTGATCACTCAGGACCAGTGATGGAGAGCACTGGATTGTCCTTTCTATTTTGAAATACTAAAGTTTGCTCTATGTGTGACAAATCCTTTTAGTGAAAATTATTTTGTGTTCCTTATATTTCTTCTGCCACTTTTGTTCATCTTCTCTTGTGCTTTTACTTAGTGATTGGTATGTTTCTGCTGTAATGTATAGAATAGGATACCCATCATCTAAGTGGTCCATTTTTTATTTAAAAATCAGACAGTATGTGATCACACTATTCCAGTAAGCATGTCGGTGAAAGGGGGAGCTGCAGAAATTCTTTTGGTGTTCATGGTGTTAAACAGGTGGATAGGGCAGATGCCATCCATACCTTGTGACATAATCCGTGTGGCAGAAAGCAGATATTATAGGTCTACTTAATTTGCTTATCTGGTCTTGATTTAATTTTGGTAAGAGATATTTATCCAGAAAGTTGTCCATTTCAAGTTTTCCAATTTTGTGGAGTACAGGCTTTTAAATATGATCAAATGATTCTCCTGATTTCCTCCGCATCTGTTGTTATGTCCCCCTTTTCATTTCTGATTTTGTTAGACTTTCTGATTTTTATCTTTACTGATTTCTCATTTGTCAGATGACTGTGAGAACTGCACCCTTCTTGTCTACACTACATGTAACAGTAGAAAATTAAGGGCAGAAAGAACACAGAAATAATGAAAAGCCATGACCATCAGAGGGCTTTTCTTTCTTTCTTTCTTTCTTTCTTGTAGTTTTTTTTTTTTTTTTGAGACAGGGTTTCTCTGTGGTTTTGGTTCCTGTCCTGGAACTAGCTCTTGTAGACCAGGCTGGTCTCGAACTCACAGAGATGCACCTGCCTCTGCCTCCCAAGTGCTGGGATTAAAGGCTTGCACCACCACAGCACAGCCAGAGGGCTTTTCGAATGTTCATTTGTTTGCTATGTGGAGAAGAAAAATTTAAATCCCAAGCTTTTTGTAGCTAGAATTGTTACGGAGATGACATGTAGATATGCTATTATCCTCTGTGTTTCTTCAGAGTCTGTTGTTAGATGCTAGGATAGCTACATGAGCTTGCTTCTTAGATCCATAAATAAATAAATAAATATTTTTTTTAAAAAAAGAAAGAAAATCGTTCTCCAGCCCTTTACTCTGATGTAATGTCTATCTTGGATGCTGAGGTGTGCTTCTTGTATACAGTAGAATGTCAGTTTGTGATTTTGTGTCCCAGTGCCTTTTTTTGGTGTTTTTAGACCATTGATACTGAGGGTTTTCAATTCCCAATGATTGTTAATTGCTGTTATATTGTTGGTGATGGTTGTGGAGTATATGTGTGTCTTTCAGTTTTGCTGGTGTGATATTATCTATCACTTCTGTTTATGGGGTTAGTCATCTTTGTGGGGTTGGAGTGTTCCTTCTAGTATCTTATATCGGGCTTGGGCTTTAGTTTGATACTGTTTAAATTTGACTTTGTTATGAACTATCTTGTTTTGTTTTGCCAGTCTATGATGGTTGAGCATTTTGCTGGATATAGTAGCCTTTGATGACATCCTTAGTAGTCCCTTGTAGTCTACACGTCATCAATTCAGGCCCTTCTGGCTTTTAGGGTTTCTGTTGAGGAGGCAGGTGTGATTATAATAGGTCTTCCTTTATTTCTTACTTGAACTTTTTCCCTTGCTGCTTTTTTAAAAATATTTATTTATTTATTATGTATACAATATTCTGTCTGTGTGTATGTCTGCAGGCCAGAAGAGGGCACCAGACCTCATTCCAGGTGGTTGTAAGCCACCATGTGTGTAATGGTTTTGGTCCCTTTAAGAGACAAGCCACACCTATTCCCCTCCCCATCTGCTGAGGCAGGCTGATTTTCAGCTTCCAGCACGAGCTTGCTCTCTTTTCCATCTTCCTCTCGGAGAGGCAGCTTCGCTTCTGCCTATCTGTCTCTTTCTCCTCTTCTCTTCTCTCTCTCTCTCTCTCTCTCTCTCTCCCTCTCTCTCTGTCTCCCCCTTCACCCTTCCTCCTCCATAACCCCCTGAATAAACATTCAACCTCAACCTCACCCTGCATGTCGTGTCTATCCATGTTTCTGTCTTCTGCCCGCCTGCCTGCCATGTGTCTCCCTGCCTGGAACCAGGCATTGCTCAGGGACCAGCAGCCCTCTCTGCCTGGGGCCCACTGCCTGCTGCCACATGGCCCGCCACCACTGCTCTGGGACCAGCAGCCATTTCTGCCTGGGACTGGCTGCTCCCAGGGCCCGCTGCCTGCCACCACATGGCCCACCGCCACCATTTGGGACCTACAGCTTTTCTGCTGCCTACTGCCGCGGGGATCTTGCAGCATTTTTTAAAAGGAACAACAATGTGGTTGCCAGGAATTGAACTCAGGACCTTTGGAAGAACAGGCAATGCTCTTAACCACTGAGCCATCTCTCCAGCACCCCCTCTTGCTGCTTTTAATATTCTTTTTTTTAATATTTATTTATTTATTATGTATACAATATTCTGTCTGTTTATATGCCTGCAGGCCAGAAGAGGGCACCAGACCAGATGGTTGTGAGCCACCATATGGTTTCTGGGAATTGAACTCAGGACCTTTGGAAGAGGGGGCAATGCTCTTAACCACTGAGCCATCTTTCCATCCCCTGCTTTTAATATTCTTTCATTGTTCTGTATGCTTAGCATTTGAGTATTATGTGGCGAGGTGATTTATTTTTGTGGCCCAATCTATTTGATGTTCTTTAATCTTCTTGTACCTTTATAAACAGATTGTTATTTACATTGGGAAAATTTTCTTCCTTGATTTTGTTTAAATATATTCTCTGCATTTCTGGGCTCGATTTTTCTCATTCCTGTATTCCTGCTATTCTTATATTTGATTGGTTCATAGTGCCCACCATTTTCTGGATATTGCTTGGTAGGGATTTTTTAGATTTAACATTTTTTGATTGAAGAATCCATTTCCTTTGTTGTGTCTTCAACATCTGAAATTCTTTCTTCCATCTCTTTTACTCTATTAGTGATGCCTGATGCTGTAGTTCCTATTCACTTCCCCAGCTTTTCCATTTCCAGGTTTCCTTCCACTTGTTTTCTTTATTAATTCTATATTTACTTGTAAACAGCAATTAACCAGACATTGGTTGTGCCACGGGATGAGGCTGGCACAGCTGGAGGAGAGTGAGATGGTAAGAGATGCCCACAGTGTGAGGCTGGCAGTTCAGCATCTCTGGATGTCAGGTTCCTCCAGCTAGGTTTCAGATGGTTCATGGTGGAAAGAGTTGACAGAAGAGACACCTTCAAAAACCACTCACTTCATCAAGTGTGGCATTTAACAGCCACAGTGACAGGTCTCTCCAACATATGACCCACAATTTGCTATGGGCATTTTGGCTGCCCTCCCCCTCACATACACACACACCCAGTTCCTGTCAGCTGATTCTTGAAGGTCTGTTCAGGCCCGAAGGCTCCTGGGTGGGAACTATACTGTGGTGCCCTGCTCTGCCCCACCTGATCTGACCTGCCCTGCCTTGCCCTGCCCTGGCCTGACCTGCGCTGGCCTGACCTGCCTTGCCCTGCCCTGGCCTGACCTCCCTTGCTCTGCCCTGACTAGCTCTTTTCTCAGTTTGGCTACAGGAGACACGAATATTATGTGCCTTATGTGCCGAATGTAGAGCAGGATCTTCAAGGTAGGAGGGCCCCAGAACTTGGTGCTGAGACCCTGTGGCTGGATCATCAATGAGGGCTCCTGGGTGCAGAGAAGTTAGGTGATTAGGTGGAAGAAGAGGAGGCTGAGGTGGGGTGGGGAACCTTGTTGTGTCTCAGCGCTCTCCCACTGTGTCTCCTTCCCCAAATTCCCTTTGCCATGGCATGTAGAAGGAAAGTCACCGAGCACCCAATGGCTCTGAAAACTTTGTCTCCTCAACCTGCATAACTGCAGTCTGTGCCTACTGCCTCTCTTCTCCCTGGCCAGCCTTCTGGATACAGGATGAGCTTAGTGACTGAATGAATGAGCACAGTAAAGACAGTAAAATGACAGCTCTGCACAATGGGTAAAAAGGGGGAACCACTGGTTTAACATGTGAGCAGGCACTGTAGGAGCCATGAGGCTAGCTCAGACCTTGATATGCTAATTAGCACCATAGGTCTCTGTACTGAAGAGCCAAGGGTCCTTTTAATAATAAGGAGAAAAGTCCTTTTTAGGAAGTAGGAAATATTTTCTCAAGTCCCTGAGGAAATGTTGGTTTTTGTCTAAATGTCAGAATAAAATAGTAACTTCTTTTCCTAAACCTGACGCTGACATGTCCCTGCTCCCCACCCCCATCCCAGAGCCCACTGTGCTGTCTGGGTAGGGAGCTGGTGAGAGGAAAGAGGTTAGTCCAGCCCTCCAACTATTTGAAGAAGCACTCCCTCCGATTGTCCTACGGCTCCTAATCTACTGTCTCCCAAGAATTACAAAATAAACCATGGATACAATAAAAACCACAACCAGCCTGGCGTTGGTGGCGCACGCCTTTAATCCCAGCACTCGGGAGGCAGAGGCAGGCGGATCTCTGTGAGTTCGAGACCAGCCTGGTCTACAAGAGCTAGTTCCAGGACAGGCTCCAAAACCACAGAGAAACCCTGTCTCGAAAAACCAAAATGAAAAAAAAAATATTAGTAAAGAATATGAAGATGTGAATGAAAATAATAAAATTGAGGAACATATAGGATAGTATCAGGAGGGAATTCAGTGAGCACAGAAATTTGCCAGTGGGCTGGAGAGATGGCTCAGCTGTTAAGAGCATTGCCTGCTCTTCC